TATAATTATATATTGATTTAGGTACATATTTATCTATCTGTGTGTATGTATGAACCAGTGTCTATCAATTGAATGACGATCATTTACATATTTCCACCAAGAATAGCATTTTAGTTTACTTTTTGTGTTGCTAACTATGAAAATATTAAGATCATAGAAAAATAAAAGTAAATATTGCTGACACCTTAGAAAAAGGGATTAATTTTGCCGAGAAGATTCCTTAACCGTCTGGCCGTATAGGCATTGACATTTGAGGATGGTAGAGAAAAAAGAGAGGTTCACAAGCAAAACAATACAAAAAGAAAGACAGTGTGAAAGCTCTTTACACTTTCTTTATCATCACAAGACAACAAAAAGAATTTTGCTTTGTGAGTTGTGACTATGTTACAGCTACCAAGCAAGCACGCTTCATCAGATGAATATAAAAATATTCCTTAAAAGAGAACGCTGGCTAGCTATGACATGCATTTTATAGCATTCTAATTCCTTTTGCAAAAAGTAGGAATAAAAGGGAGAACAAATCAAGATGATAGGCATAAATTTGTCAAAAGGAAAATCATATGGCTGTGAAGATAGTTATTTAATTCCTTTGCGATAAGTTAGATTAAAGGGAATTATTATAGCAGATTTAACTTTATTGCTATTCATTTGGCTATCGAAGTCATCACTTCCAACTTGCTAAAGCATATAAATAACACAACACTGGTACCCATTTTTCCACGTAAGTGTAACATCGTTACCAAGTTATGTGTTTAGGGTAGATTTTGAATTACTTATGTAACTGGTTCCACCATGGTTACTAATATTTTTTAAAATCAATTATTAAGTTGTAGATATTATATGCAACTTATATATTATAAAAAGAAAAAAATAGTAGTATAATCTGACTTATGTTTTTTAGTTCTTTTGTTTATAAATGTATATACAGTATCATGATTGTTGCAATTATATAATTGACGATAGAGTTAGCAATTTTTACACACTCAAATTATTTATGTACTTATTATTGTTGTATTAGATGAAAAAAATGAAAAAAAATATTTAATTGAGAGCTACTTTGATTATTTATTATTATTATCTCTCATTTTATATGTAATTAATTTATGATTAATAATACCAATAGATATAATAATGATATTACTTTTGTTTACAGATTACATTACAAAACTTTCTAATATATTGTTAATGATTTTAGAGAAGTGAAAAAGAAGCACATAATAAAGACTCAGTTTGAGTAAGCTTTTATAAAAGTCTTATTAGAAAAAAAAAGTATAAAAAATAATAAAAATTTTCTTATAAATTAGAAACAACCTATTTTCTCAAATCTTAAAAAAAAAATTCTCAGAAAATAGAGAAATATATATTATTTTTTAACTTATAAAAGAAATTTATTTATTTTTTATACGAAATTTTTTCTCTTAACGGAAATTTTTCTAAAAATTCATCTAAAAAATTAAAATATAAATAATTTATTTTAAATTAAAAAATAAAAGTCATACATGTAACATATGCAGAAGCGGAGTGCGGAAGGAGGGGGAGCCGCCCAACGTTTTATGATACTTATATTTTTATATATAAAACATATTTTATTATTATTCTGACTTAAATATATTTTTTCTAATATTTTTATACAATTTTAATTTTTATCTATTTTTGTTATTTTTAGTTCATAATTTTTTTAATTTAATTATTTTAGTCCTCAGTCACAACATGATTAATTAAAAAGTTATCATGCGTTGATTTTTATTATATCACATTATTGAAAGGATTAAAAGTATTAAAATTAGAAAAATTATAATCTAAAATAAAAAAGAAATATTCGAAGGACAAAAATTAAAATTTTGTAAAATTATATAAACTAAAAATATATTTAAATCATATATATTATTTTAAAAGTTTGATAAAATTATATATAACTAATATCAATTTTAGCATTTAATAGGTTAAAATATTAATTTTTTCTTAAATATATATTTTTTATCCTTCAACATATATTATATTTTGATTAGTTCCTATAATTTCTTTTAGTCTTTACATATTTTAAAATTATTGATTTTGGTATCATCTATAAATGATACATGATACAAAGAGAAATAGGATATGGCAATTTTAAGTTAATCACATCATCGTTTAATAATGATTGGCGACTAAAATTAATAATTATAAAAATATAAAAATTCAAATAAAAAATAATTTTTTAAAAACCAAAATCAAAATGTGATTATTTTAAGAAACAAAATATTTATTGAAGGTTATTTTTTATGGCCCTGTAACTGTGCTATAAAAATCGTAAAATTGATGAGAGGAAATGTAAAGATATAATGAGAACCACACGCATCACCTCAAATGGAGCAACTAATAATTTAAAACGAAATAGTATGTACTAAATGTGAAATTTCACAAAACTTTTTAAGTGGTTACTTTTAATGATTTAAAACTTTTAGATTAAACCCTGAAAATAATTTTAATAATTTCGCATTCTATTAAAGTTCAGAACAGGTTATGTATTGTTTTAGAGTTTTGATTTAGGTAACAAAAAAAAAAGCTTCAAATATTTCTCAATAGTATATTGCCACAAACTAATGGGATCATGTATCTTGTTTCAATTAGTTTCATCTGAACCCGTAAATTGAATTATTTTTCTATTTTATTTTATTGTCAATATAACTGGTTAACTTTGGATTTAGTTAATTTTAACTCAATCTGATCTATGAACCAAAACTGAACCCAATTTTGTCTATTGTTTTTCAATGGATTTCTTTGGAGTTATTACTTTTTAGCACCACTCTATTGTATTAATTACATGACCTTCTCTCTGTCTAGGGATGGCAATGGGTAAAGTACCCGATGGGCACCCGCAAAATTTACCCACAATTGGTAGGGTATTTACCCGCTATACGGGTACGGGTATGGGTGTGGGTAAAAACCTGTAAATTTTAATGAGGATGGGTGCGAGTATGAGTATCTAAGTACCCACCCCGCCCCATACCCGCATATATATATATATGCTTAAACTTTATTCTATAATTATGAATTGAATTTTTGTATTATTATATTACTTATGTGAAGTTATATAAGATTAATATAAAAATATATTTAATAATAAAGTAAACCAAAAAATTTATTTTGGTTTATATTTTTAATAAAAAAATTTATTTACTATTTTATATCATTTAATTAGGCTAACACAATTTAATTATTACATAGTTAATATGAGATTGACTTTTTTTAAAATATTATTTATATATGACACACATAAAATATTTTTTACACAAATATTTTTATTAATAAAATCATATTGATGATTAAATCATAAAGTGAATGATAAATAATAAATATATTATAAATTTTACAATCACCTACTATTACCGTAAACTTATTATTTATTAATAATATTTAAATTTTATTTTTATATTTTAATTTAAAATAATATTTTTTTATGCAACATATGTATTACAAGCACAACTATAATCTATTGAATCTAAATAATATTATTCTTACTATTTATTCACATTCAAAGAAGTTTTTGAAAAGATATAAATATAAAAAAATTATTGTTAATTTTTATTTGTTAATTTTTTTAAGATAAAAAAGTATAATTTTTTTTAATATACACGTATATTTCTTTATTATAAAATTTTATTGTAACTATTTATCTTTTATTCAAATTTTTTTAAAATTTATATATATTATAAATATTTAATTCACTAAAATAATTTTTTAAAAATTTATATTTTTGATAAAATACTTTCGTATAGTATATGAGTTAAAAAATACTAGTATTAATATATATATATATATATATATATATATTATATTTATTATTTTAATTAAATCTATTATTTTTCTTACACTTTCAAATTCAAAAGTTAAAAAAAATATTTTATGTATCAACTTTCTATCGTTAGTATTGAACTTCTCTACTCTAACTCTATTCACATTCTCAATGTCTGTCTCACTAAAACTTAATAACTATAAAATGTTATTCATTAGAGTTAGTTTTTAATGCCGTCACAAGAGGTTACTAAGTGATCCCACACGAAGGGACAACCATTGTACAGATCTATTTCGTTGTCGTTCTGACATTACCAATCAATCAAATCTCACACAAGATAGGATTATCACTGACAAATAACTTGTGTGTTTAGTTTTGCTTATTGTTTCTAAGAATTTTAGTCTAGAAAATTATTATATTAAGATACATTTAACATTTATGATCTTTGAATATTTGTTTTTTATCTATATTTGTACCTTGTTCGACAACTACATATTGAATTTTTGTATTATTATGCTACTTATGTGAAATTATATAAACATATTTTTCTTTATAAACATTTTTTTCTCAAACAAGCACGGGTAATGGGTACAAGACGGGTATGCGGGTACTCAGAGGGTACGGGTACGGGGATTAATGTTCATACCCACGCGGGTATGGGTCCGAGTACGGGTATTTTTTTAAAACACAGGTATGAGGATGGGTACTGTAGTACCCTACCCATCCCCTACTCATTGTCATCCCTATCTCTGTCTAGTGGAATTTAATTATGGAATGTTTGTTTAATGCATTTAAAATATTAAATTTCAAAAATAAATTTATAATTTACTTCTAAAATTTAGTTTTCAATATAATTTTACAGCTTCGAAAAGTTAAATTTTAAAAGTGATTTAACATATCTTCCGAAATTTAATTTTTAAAAATATTTTAAAAAATAAATTCTAAAAAAGATGGTGTAGAAAGCAATTTTCTATCTTTGGATCATTGGTCCGGTTCAATACTGAAATTAGTGAAGCAAATAAACTTTTTCAAAACTATTAAAATTCTTTACCTCGTTTATCTTATGCTGATTAACAAAAATGGGAATGATTTTTGGCTACTATATGTTTAAGCCTAACCAGATCCAGCTATTACAAAGCGATGGTTCAATACATGGATAGAAGCAGCAGCTGTAATAACCAGGTGGTAATTGACACGAAAGGCACCAATCAAGAACTCAAGGTACAATGAAAATATATAAATATTAATTGAAATCTCCATATCATGTAAAGAAAGGGGGAGAATCCATGAAAATATATTGATATAATTGAAATCTATGCATATTCTAGTATTCTACAGCACCAAACCCATAAATAGGATTTGGAAGTTCAGAACAGTTAAGGCATAAAGTATTTAATTGCCAATCAGGAACTGTAATGGCGGGATCAAGTTGGATTAAGAAAGGAATTAGAATCATACAGCAACAAACTTTAATTGAATGCTACACATGGAAGTAACAATCTTCCAAGATCTCTAATTTACCCCCACCCTACCATATCCACTATTATGTTATCCAAATTACGTAGAGAAATATCATCTAGCATCTTGTATTTTCACCCCCAAAACTGGACCGATAGGGAGTCTTAAGTAAATTATAACTCCAATGACCCTCGTAATTTCTTTTTCTACCCAAAAACGAAAGGAAGAAAAGGAAAAGGAGGGATTAAACTTCAGAATAGAGCTTCATTTTGATAGAACATTTACTCATTATGGAAGGAAAAAAATACAGGAATGTGAACCTAAGACTTGAAATATTGGCAGCCAAAAAACCCTACACTGTGAGCAGTTGTCTAAACACTACCCCGTAGTTTTCTTGACTTTCCTATGTTACTCTTGTAACACTAAGTTTGAAAATGAATTTCCTCTTTCTACTTCCTTTCATGGTTACTATAATCTTCTTCCATCAACACCAACAAAACTTCAAATAAGCACTATATATTTATTTACTGAAACTTTTCTTGTTGACTACCTCGGGTCAGCAAGACCTATTTTAATTTTGCTGAGCCACAAGATGATCAAGCTTCATTTGTTCAAGCCTCGCTCTTAACACAGCATGATCAACAGTCTCCATTTGTGCACGCGTATTTGAAACCTCACCAGAGGATCCAGCTGCTTCAACATTTGAGACAGCCAAATTTTCCTTAACCTCAGATGGAGATTCTTTAACAAGTGACTGGACCCATGACAAATCAGGCTCCTCTTCATTATTCCCAAACTCAAATGACGATGATCTACGTAGCTTACCTAATTGATCTGAATTGACAGCCCAATCCAATGTACCATTGGAGGGTCCCCACTTTGACCAAGAATTGATAGGAGAACCAGTAGCAGCAGCAACAGTAGTAGAATTGGAGCCAAGTTCCCTGGAGCTAAGGCTGCGAAATTGTAGCTGCTTCTCACGTTGAGCCAGCACAGAAATCCTAGAGCTCATTGGAGAAAGAGGTTCTACATTCCGTGGAGACATCCTTCCTGATGTTTGAACCCCAAAAGAGGCCTGCAATAAGGGATTGTCAACATTTTTAGAAGAGAAGTTTGTGCTCACAGGTGACAGCAAGCTTTGCTGCTGCTGAAATTGGTTAAGGACAGCCGATTTATGTGTTGGTGAATAAACAGCTGAAGCCAATGCTGGATCAGAAAATCGAGGGGATGAACTCTCAGAAGAGAATATATCATCAAGATTTGAAGGGGTCAGGCGGCCAGAGCGGTTGATAGTATTAGACTGTTGAGAGAGGTAAGATAACTCATTAAGGAGCTGTTGTTGCTGAACGTCATATTCAGGCAACAAGTCAAAGTCATCCAAAGGAATATCTCTGGCATTGAGGGAAGATCTCAGACGACTGGAATGAAGACTACTCCCTGGCAGATGCAACGCTGGGACATTTTGTTGGGACCAAGCAACAGATGAGTGTTGCATGCCATTAGCAGAGGGTGACATAGGTGGAGTGAATGGTGAAGGAGACATGACAGACATTGAGGAAGGAGAGCCAGGCAACATGCTCATGGCTGCAGCAAAATCCATAGCAGAAGATGTGCTTGAGCGGGGTGATGGTACAGCAGAACCAGTTGAAACATATAATGGCCGAAGTTCCTCAACAGTGTGGGCAAAAAAGCAAACTCTTCTGGAGCAACTTGTCCCATCCTTGCAAAGACGAGTCCGATATTGTGCTGGATGCAGCCAGCACTCAAAAACTCCATGAGCATATTCACACATATCTCCTCGTCTGCAAGCACCCTTCCGAAAATCAGGACAAGGGACACAGCTGTAATGGTACTTTCTCGGATCCCTTCTCCGGGCATTCTCCCCTGGATGAACAAAAGGACATTCAGTCCAATCATGTGAATAAGCACGTGAACAAGGTCGAACCTTGAAAGAATACATTCGGAATTCATCAGTTGAATATATGCTATTCTTGATGTCAGGAAGGGACGGATCAACAGGATATTCTTTCTTCTCTGATGCAGAAGAAACATGGCCATCATTTAGCTTTAACTTCAACAGTAAATCTGGTGCAGAAGGAGACCCATTCTCTGGTGAAGCAGACAAAGGTGGAGAATATGTGTTTGATGGAGCCGTGGTCACCCTAAGATTACACACCGCAATGGAATCATCAATTTGAAGAAGTTCTTCAAGATTATTTTTCAAAGATGCAAGCTTAGGAGGAACAACAATGACATCAATCGGATGATGACCATTTCCATCCACAGAATTTTGATCAGCCCCTGCTGCTAGAAGCAGTTTAACAACCTCTACAGCATTCTCAGCCCCGCCTGATGCTGCACAATGAAGGGCAGTGCTTTTGTCGAGCCCACAAGGTTTATTAATATCACAACCCGAAAGTGAAAGAATCAGTTTAATAACATCAATGCTGCCATAAGTAGCAGCAACCATCAATGGTGTTCTGAGCTCATTGACCATCTGCCTTGATCCCTTCCGATGGCTGTACCATAGTCCTACCTCATCTACACAGGAAGGATCCCGCTCAATCATTCGTTTGAAACCTTCAACATTGTTATTAGCTGCAAGCTCAAGCAAACTTGCAAATGAATCTTCAGTCTCAATGGTCAAGCGATTCATCATGTAGCTTCAGGGTTGAGATGCGCTTCACAAAATAAGAAATAGAGTTGGAGATAGCACTGGCTTTAATTTCTCCAAATGCTTTCATTTGCAGCAGGTTTAACTGAGAAAAAACACCACAAACCCATTAAAACTAACCTTCAAAGACACCTTGATTATATGAAATCAAAAAAGAAAAATCAGCAAGCTTCAAAATGCATAAACACGTGAAGTTTCCAATTATAAGCAGGTAATTATGCGTCAAATAGAACCTCTAAACTATAAAAAGAGAAAGGCTAAGATAAACAATCATTTTCCAATTTTAAAACAGTCACATAAGACAATAAAGATACAAGGGATATTAAAGGACATTAGAAACAACACAAACCTGTTCATCAACCCAGGAGCAAGGAAGTCAAACAGTGAACGATCCACTCAACTTAACAGAACATGTTTACCATAAAAAAAATTCAGATTTCAAAACACCCATAAAAAACAGAAGAACATCATTCAAAACAAGACTATTTTCCCAAGGGCACCCTTGTCTTTTCAGCGCATGGCAAGAGAGATACAACAACCAAATCCACTTCAGCACGAAAAAGTCTAAGATTATGTAATCCAAGAAAGAGTCAAAAAAAGACAACGATTGAGCCAATAAGGCATGAACTGATCTCAAGTGCCCATTGACGTGAAAACAATTTCATGATCAAACTAGTGATGAATTTTATCATATCTCTAAAACCCATTTTCTCGAACAATAACTCAAAAAAAAAAAAAAAAGTTAGTACTTAGCAAGTTCTTCCATTTTTTTTCCTACAAAAGCAATGAACACCAACTCAAATTTACATTACTTCAACTACGATCATCATCTCAAAAAATAAGTTACAAAACAAGAAGCACCAACAAAAAGTGAGCGAAAATAAAGCAACACAGTGAAACTGAGATTTTTTGTTTTCTTCGATACAGCACACCAAACGAATTAAAGTGAAGACAGTGATTCTATTTTCACAATCAAACCATTTGAACGTGAAAAACAGATTCAAAAAAGAAACTTGAACATGATCTGAACTTTGATAGAACTGAATCTTACGAGTTCTCGTTTGCCGTAAAAGAAAAAGCCATCAGTGAGAAAGAGAGAGATCTCAACGGAAGCAGAGTAGCTGAAGGGAGCTTAAGACTAAGGGTGTTTGGATAGCGAGAAAATCTGGAAGTGGGAGAGAAAAATAGTTTGACAGAGAAAGAAAATTCGCGAGAAAAGAGGAGCCAGCAAGAGTGCCTCTTCTTCTTTCTCCATTTACTATGCTCTTTGCGAAAAAAAGAAAGAAAGAAAGAAAAAGACGCTTAAGTTTTAAAATTAATTATCACGTGTATTTTATTAATTTTTTTGTTTAGATAAAATCGCCAAGCCAATAAGATTAGAAGACAGAAATGTTTTTAATACAGCTAATTAAAAATACTTTCAGGTGTAAAGTATTTTTGGAATATACGTACATGAAAAAGTAAACTAATAATAGCATATAATATTACATGTAATATGTAATTTAAATAATTAATATGCAATTTAAATAATTTAAATTCGATAAAAAAATAAAGATAAAAGACTAAATAAAGCCAGCTGAAAGTTACGGATTCAGCAGCATACTTTTTTTATATTTTTTTAATTAATCTGTTTCGAAAAGGTTAAAATAATTTTTGAAGTCATAAATTTATAAAAGAAATATTTTAATTGTAAAAATACATTAAAAAGTATGTTTTTAATTTTGCTTTATTTATTATTCTCACTTTCGTGCTTTTTTATTTGCCAATAATATTAAGGACTCGATCGTCATCTAGTAAAACTGTAGGGATAGAAATGTATTTTCACTATGCCTCTATTTCTACAACCTTCCTCTGCAGGGGGGTCTATATTTACGCCCCAAAAAAATTTAATGCTTTAAGTAATATTTTATTCTTTAAAAATATTATGCCTTCTAATTTATTTTTATAAAAAATTTATTTAATTTTAGTTTGTTATTATAGACTAAAACTACTTTCTTTTATATTTTTAAAGGTTAAAACTAAATAAAATTTTTATAAAGACTAAAGACATGATATTTTTAAGACTAAAATATTATTTAATTCTTAAATTTAAAAAATATAAGTTTATATCTTTTATAACCATACTTTTTTAAATAATTTATCATCTACAGTATTTATTTAATTAAGTTAAAATATAATATTTAAATAAATGTTAAAGTATATATTTTATTTTTATAATTAAGTTAACACATATTTATGAATTAATCTTTATATTTAAAAAATTATATTCTAATAGAATGCAAATACTAAAACATAACAAAACATTCATATATGAATTAAAATATTTTAAAATATATTAAAATATAAAAATTAAATATTTATTTTAACTATTATAATTTTTTAAAAAATACAAAATATCAAACCTAGTTAAGAAAATATTTACTATAACTGAATTTTATTTTCATAACATATAATTTTTATTAATAAAATAATTTACTTAATTTTGTAATTTTACATTTTATCTTACTTTTAGATAAGTAAATAAAATATCAATATAAGTATTTTTCATTATAAGTGTTTTATATGTTTTATTTTTTATTGCATGCTCATAAAATATCAAAGAGAGTTATTCATGTTCAAGCTAGTTTTAACAATACTACTATGACTGTTATATATGTACGTAGCCGGGCCATTTCTTGATCTTCTGCTGGTACTTGTGGATTCAAGGGTACACGAAGGGGTACAATATTTGCTGCTCAAACCACAGTAGAAATGTTATTTGAATAGTAGCGAATAAGCATGCAACGAGCAACAGTCATGATAAAAGGCTTAAATCTTGGAAGAGATGCGTCATTAAGAGCTAATTTGTAATGAAAGTAGATCTTTGAAAAAAAAAACATATGTAAAATTAAAAATAAACATGAAAAAGATTTCAAGAGAAATAAATAATTCAAGAGTTTAAAATATAAATAATAAAGACTAAAATATAATAAAGAACTTGTATATAAATTAAAACATAAATTTTTTAAATATAAAATCTAATTTATAAATTAGCATTAATTATAAGGATTAAATGTATAATTTAACATTAAATAAAAAAAGTCTAAACAAAGTAAGGTAATAGTTATTTTAGAGTCATAATATACACTCTTTTTTATAAACTACTTTATAATTTATATAAAATAATTATTATATTTTTTTATTTGCTCTTAATAAATAGAGTTGGTAAAAATTTATTTAAAACTAAAAAAGTAAACATTGACAACAAAATTAGATTTAATAATATTAAATGAAGATCAATAATAATACATGTAAAAGGAAAGAGAAATATAGAAGGCTTGATTTTTTATTTATTTTTTGTTAAGATTTCTAAATGTCACGTGAGAAATCATATGGTAGTTGAGACTAGACAAGTAATTTTAATGAATGCAAGGATGAAGTGTTTATTTATGACAAGTTTATGGATAATCACGTAATGTCTCCTCAACATTAATACGTGGACTTGTTAGGATAGAACTTTACCACAATAGATCTTATTAGTGGTAATAGGTTAAAGTTTATGGTACATTTAAGCAATGAAGTGCTACAAGAGTTGAGTAAGTTTTGTAGTTTTACATGTGTAGTTAAATTGTTTGAGAAATATATTGGGCATGTTTTGTTGCATGATAAACTTGTGAAGTTATAGAAGATATAAGAAACTTTTGAAAACATTGATGTAGACAATAATTTCTACATGACTCAGTTTGGTTATGAGTGTGACAAATTAAAAGTAATGGAAGGTGGTCTATGGATGATTTATAATCATTACTTAGTTATTCAAACTTAGTCTCCCCAATTTGCTTTTCCATTGTTAAAATGGAAAAGAAAAAAGAAAAACTCCTGTTGGATTAAACTTTTAAGGCTTAACATAGTATTCTATGATGAAAGTATTTTATTTGTCCTTTTTTTATTATTCAAGAGTAAAAAAAAAATTGATAGTAACACTCTTAATATTATTAAGGGGGTCATTTTACACATATTTGTGTGGAAGTGGATTTATCCAAGCTTGTTGACGTGATTAGTATCAATGACTATTCTTATATTGTATAATATAAATCTTTACATATTATATGTTATTCTTATGGGTGTTATAAGCATATGATTAGAAATTATTCTACCAAACCTTTCAATGTTGTTGTGTAATCCTTTCTTATTGATAATGAAGAAAATAATGAGCATACTACAAAGTTTACCATAGTTTATCAAGGGCTAATGATAGGAAATAAATTAGCAATAATGATGGTCAACTACATTCATTAATCACTAATCATGGGAAAATAAATTTGAAAGATTTCCTATGTTTACATAAGGATTGACTCGTGAGTAAAAGGAAAAATCATACTGGTAAGAAAGAAAAGAAGAAAGGTAACACTGACAATAAAAATGTGCATGATAAAAAAAGATTAGGTAAAAAAAATTGTCAATAATAAAGGAAATAATATTGTTATGAGACTTATTACAACTAAGGATAGTACTAATAATGTAAAATTTTATGCGAATATAACACCTTTACAAAGCATTCATGTGGTTAATGTTAGTTCAATTAAATGTTAAAGTGAAAAAAAGGACATTAATAATCCTTTTATAAATAAAAGATGTAAAAAAAATTTAATTATCTACCTTCCATGTTTGTACAGATGAGTTCATCAAAATTTTAAGAAAAAAAAAAGAGTTATCCTTTTATGAATATAGATTGTACTTGAAATATTTAGTGTTATAATTTTGGATGGTGGAAATATCTTCTAGTGTTATCTAGACAATACAAGCATGCCATTATTTTTCTTATGAAAACTCATATTCCATTTAAATCTAACAAAATGTTTTGGAATAAAATTGAACCTAGAGAGATGGACGCAAAGGAGGCTCTTAGCTACTAAAGAGATATAATGTCTTGTTTCTCAAATATCTCACTTATTTCATAGTATGATAAGTATGTGTATGTTAATAGTTACTCTAAAAATTTGTATAGCTAACAAAGTTAATGTTTTAAGCACAATTTATGCTAAAGCCATTTTTTTTATTAAGGAAAAACCTTAGAATTGTATATGTGACCTTTGATTTAGGTTGAACATATCTTGTTAGTCATTGGATACTTCAAAAAGTTATTTAATCTTATAGGATAATTTTTTTTTAATTTCTAATATAATTTAGTTTTTTACAAAAATTATGGAGTAGTGTAATTTGTTAATATCAACTTTGTAACACCTTTTTTCATGTTATTTATGTCAATTATTTTATTTTCTTTGAATACTTTGTATTTTTAAAATTAAATTGAATTTTAAAATCTTGTAATAAATAATTTAACTTAAATATTAATAACTACTAAAATTGAATTTTTAAGATTCTTATGATCATATTTAAGCAAAATTCAAATTCTTTTAAGAAATTAGTTAAATAAAAGTGGGAGAATAGTTTCTAACCTTGAAAATATATTCATTTATTTTTTCTAATCTGAAAAAATATATTCTATGAATACTTTTCACTTATTTATTCTAATTAATTAACAAATATTTTGATTTGTGAGAAAATTTTTATAAATGCAACAGACTTATTTAGAGTATATATTTTTACTCATTTTTTCAAGTAAAATTAGTCAATTTTATTTTTTATTTTTGACTAAAAATAACGCACACTAGTTATACTATTGTAATTATAAAATTTGACAATTGACTATGTAATTGTATTCTTTTCTACTTTATTTATATATATTTTTAGTAAGATTATATTTAAATGAATTTAGTTTAAGGTTAGATGGTCAAGATTGCATGAAATTTGATAATCTAATATTGACCCTTCATTCTCCCACACTTTAGCTTATAACTATCGATTAACTTTATTTCCCTATCTCTAAATCTGCAAATGTGAAGAACTTTCTCTAGGTAAGCCTTCTCCACCTTTTGTTTTCCTCCTTTCATGCATTTGCCTTCATCCCATTTTAGTTTTTTAAATTATGCTGAAGTCTTGGTTAATTTTTAGTTTTTCTAAATGTCACCAACAGTATTTTGTCATTTGGAGTGATGTATGAACATGAATAATGTACCTTTAACTTCTCCTTCTACCTAGTAGGTTTGGCCTCTAAGGCCAATTTTGTACAAAATTTTAATCTCTTGATTTCTTTTGTATTTTTATTATTGAACATGAACTTAGGAATTAAAAAATTTTCAGCTTTCCTCAATATACGTATTCATACCATGAACATGGTGAGCATGTAGAATTCTAGTTTTGATCATAATTTCTCATTCTC